AGAGGACGAGATGGTTGGACAGTGTCATCGAAGCTACCAACATGAATTTGACCCAACTCTGGGAGGCAGTGGAAGACAGGAGGGCCTGGCATGCTCTGGTCCATGGCTCACGAAGAGTCGGACACAACTAAATGACTAAACAACAACAAGCTGGCCTTTAACTACAGTTAATGGAAACAAGCCAGTTTCCTAATCCATAGATCAAAGCTGATTTGTTTCAAACAAGCTATCGTTATGATAAACTTTGCAAAACATTCATGCCCAAATCATCACCAAAGGGCTGATAGGTAAAGAAGACACTCCTGATACATCTGAGTTTTAGAAGTCCATGGGAGACTTTAAAAATCAGCTTTGTTGCGGTTTTGCACTAATGGAACAAAAAGGTGCCAGAAACAGTTTCTCCCCTGCAGCAGCAGCTGCTGTTCTGTGCTATCAAGTCAAACATAGTGACTTCTTGAATAAATGACTTCCAAAGAATCCTATCATAAACAGCTCAGATAAACTATTGCAAACTGACGGCCATGGCTTCCTTTATTGATCATATTTGGTCTTCCTCTTTTCCTGCTGCCTTCAACTTTTTCCAGCAATATTGTTTTTTCCAGGGAGTATTGTCCTTTTATGAATTGCCAAAGTACAATAGTCTCAGTTTCATCACTTTTGCTCCCAGAGAGATTTTAGGCTTCATTTAACCTATGACCCATTTGTTTGTTTTTCTGGCTGTCTGTGTTATCCATAAAGCTCTACTACAACACTGTACTTTAAATTAATCATTTCCCTCAATAGTATTTTGCACTATCTAGCTTTCACATCTGTACATGGCAATTAGAAATACGACAGTGCAGATGACCTTGGCCCTGGTTTCCAGTGACACATCCCTACACTTGAGGATTTTTTCTAGTTCCTTCCTAATAGCCATTCTGAGTCTCGGTCTTCTGATTTCTTGGCTGCATTCTCCATTTGGACTGATGACCGAACCAAAGTTTTCAAAATAAGTTTAACCATTTCAATTGTTTCATTGTTGACATTAAAGTTACATAGTTCTGCAGCTATTTTTTGTCTTCTCAATGTTGACCAGGAGTCATTTCAAGTTGATGCCGCTTTCTACATTGACCTGAAATATACTCTCCTTAATGGCCACATAATAAGATGAGAATGATAATGTCACTGGTGATGGGAGTGGTGGAAAAACTCCTGAAGGGCAGCTACTGGGACGCAGCAGTAACAGAAGGTGATGCTAGCAGAAAATCTTTTATGGGCAATGGCAGTGACACTCAGTCTGACTTTTCTTAGTACTGTGGAGAAGGCAAAAAAAGATTGTTTTTGTTTTGCTTTTGGCAATTCCTCAACCTTGTCTATGACAATGAGTCAAGCAGAGGAGGATAAAAAGGTATATATAGGAGTCTCAAACATAATATGGCTCATTTTCATTATAAGTCATGGTTTATGCTTGGTAAACAATGGTTTATCATGATGCCCCAACCAACTGTCACAGGAGCAAGATTTTCTTAAATACTCAGCCAATATATTACACCCTCAGTTTTTATGTAGTTTGGAAAACGAAACCTATGGCCTAAGGGAACGCTAGAATTCTTTTCCAGTATGTTATTATTCATGGAAAAGAATGCATTATTAACTGATGTGACATATGTAGAGCTAGATTTATTTTAATAATTACTCCTAAAAGGAACAAAGCATCAGGTTCCCCCCTCATGCAACTTCAGTGAAATAAATCTGCAGAAGAACAGGGGACTTGCTAGGATCTTACATATATATGTCTTAGGGTGCAATTAGACAGGGATTTGTTCCATGATTTGGTCTCATTTGGGGATGGGCAGGTTCATTCATTTGGGGATGAGCTGGTTGGCATATGGGCCAACATGGACCAGCCCATCCCTGATCTTTGCCCACCTGCACCTTTTTGGGTCCCTGTCAGGTGCTATGACCTTTTTGGTGCAAGTAGGTTTGCTCAGTTTTGGTTTGGTTCTATCTTGAGTGATTGCTGGGACTAAACAAAAGCAAATAGCTGAAGTTGTCCCTTTTCTTAAGCCACTTCACAATCTTGGTAAATTGAAAGCTTCCTTCTGCTCTTCCATGGAGTAGGAGAGAGATGAAGCAAAGAAAAAAAATTAAGCCTTGTAAAGCTGCACTGATGTGCTATGCCAGGGGTTTTAAACTCAATTTACCTGGGGGCTGCTGGAGGCAGAGTCTGGGTGAGGCCGGGCCGCATCAGATTTTCCACCTAGCAGAGCAAGAGCCCGAGGAAGCCACCCAGGAGTTTCCTTAGCCGGCAGACAGATGGGCTGGCTGGCAGGCTGCAGTTCAAGATGGAGGGTGCAAGAGGCGCTGTCTTGGGAGAGAGCCGGCTAGTGAGGCAAAGCTTTTTTTTACTCTTGACAGCAGAGGATGTGTGGGCAGTGTGGGGGGGCAGGCAAGGCAAGGGCCACAAACTATCATCTGGGGGGCCGCAAATGGCCCCCGGGCCGCATGTTTGAGACCCCTTGTGCTATGCCTTTTAGAATATTTTTAATTGAAAGCTTCTGTCTCCTCTGCCATGCAAGATTGGAAGGCAGCTTTCAGTTCCTCAGGATCATGAAGCAGCTTATAGAAATCACAGAGGAGAGGACAAGGAAGGGGATTTTTTGTCACTTTTGTCTCCCCCTCTTTCATTTTAAAGAGAAAGATGGGCTAGATAAAGTCACTTGAGGTACAGAGTTTTTGCTCCTTGCATGTAGATAAAAGAATCACCCCAAATAGCATATCACACTTCAAGATGACCCTGTTTAGTACAATCTTGCCCTGGTAGAATTTAGTTGTATGGTCACAACATGACTTAAATAAAAGAGAAGCATAAATGAGACTGCATTGTAGTAAAATGCAGTGATTTGTAGCATAATGATTGCAGGTGTTTTGTGTTTCAAAATCTGGCTAATGCTTCTGCATTTTTAGTTAGTGGATGGTCTATTTAAAATTCTAATTTGAATATTGTTATGGAAGTTTATATAAAAAACACTACATGGTCTGGATGGTCTTTTTAATTAATTCATCAATCTTCAAGTGAGTCATCTGAGGAAACAAAGACTTACATTTCTAACCAACAAATGAATGTTCTAACCATCTTAATACATTCTTTTCAACACTGTTTTTAAGGGGAAAATCATTTTCTGTTTTTAATGATTACATTTGGATAATATCTATAAAAGTATTTCAACCAGAAGGCAAAATTAGGCTATTATGAGGGGGAACTGGCTCTTCTTTTAACCTTGTTTCCTTCACTGGGTATTTTGAAAGACAATACTTTCGCCCCCCCCAACCCTTCTTAAGAAATGTAAATATATTAATTTTCTGGAGTACCATATGTGATGCCATTTTAATGAGATACATCCTAACACATTAATGATAATCAAGCATGGCTGCGGAAAAATATGACAAAGAGTAACTAACAAAATTATATGTGCTCCAATTTCTACCACAAAGTTCTGCATTCTGCCATCTGTTTGGGATGACTGTAATTTAACATCTAGCTCTTGAAAGCATTTTAATGACATTAAAGTGTGTCAACTTTTTACCCAGGCAGAGAGACAAATGAAATTGTGGACTAAATTTAGATAATTAACTGCCATTTGGGTTTCTGTTGGGGAAGAATGTTTGCGTAAAATGTTCATTTAAAAACATATAGCAGCCTCAACCTGGCAGCCTCTATTTGTGCTGCAATACACCCCACATCACTCCTGGATAGCAAAATGATAGGATGATGGGAGTTGTAGCATAGTACATTTGGAGTGGCTGTAGGTTTGAGGCTGAACCCGGACAAGACGGAAGTTCTGAGGGTGGGGGGCCCTGTGGTTGGTGGCTTGGGTGGCTCTCTCTTGTTTGGGGGGGGCGGCCCTGGCTCCGGCGAGTGGGGTCCGCAGCTTGGGCATACACCTGGACCCGGCGCTCACCATGGAAACACAGGTGGCGTCGGTTGTCCGCTCCGCCTTTTTCCATCTCTGGCGGATTGCCCGGCTGCGGCCCTACCTTGACACGGGGGCTCTCACTACCTTAGTGCATGCGCTCGTAATCTCAAGATTAGACCACTGCAACGCGCTCTACGTGGGGCTGCCTTTGAGGTTGATACGGAAACTTCAGATGGTGCAGAACGCAGCGGCCAGACTCCTTACGGGAGGGAGGAAATACCATCATATTGCTCCTATACTGGCCAGATTGCATTGGCTGCCCATCCGTTTCCGTATCGAATTCAAAGTTTTAATGCTCACTTATAAGGCCCTAAACGGTTTGGGACCTCGATATTTGGCGGAACGCCTTCTCCCACCAAGATCTACCCGGATCACCCGTGCGAGCCAGGAGGTGAGGTTGAGGAGCCTCACGCCGAGGGAGGCCCGGAGGGAAAAGACTCGAAACCGGGCCTTCTCGGCGGTGGCTCCTCGCTTCTGGAACAATCTCCCTTCTGAGATTCGCGCGGCCCCTACGCTGGGTACATTCAAAATTCAACTAAAAACATGGCTTTATGTCCAGGCCTTCCCTCCT